ACTTATATTTTTTTGAGCGTAATTTATATTTTTTTGAGCTGAAACTTTCTAATATATTTCAAGATTTTTTATTTATTTTTGATATGATACCAAAAAAAATTAGAAGACGGGTGTATAAGTGTTTCCCCAACTATTTACATACTTCCAACAAGAAATTGGGTTGTGTTACATTCTTTTTATGGTTACGGAAGATTCATGTAAAATGGGTATTAATTCTTTGAATTTATAACAATCAAGAGAATCCCACTTTTATATCGCGAAAGATTTAAGAATTTTTTTTTATATATTTAAATNTCAAGAGAGAAAAGTAAAAATGATATATTTTCTTTCATTTGTATTTGGTAAAATGAGTGAAAAATAAAAAATAATTAATTTTTTTTGTTCTTGATAAGATGGGAAAAATATTATTTTATTTTTTAATTTTATTTTTTAATTTTTTTTTAAAAAAATTATAAATACATATTTTATCATTGTATTTATATATGAAATTAATGTATACATAATATATGCATATATTAAAGGATATATAGACAAATACGATATAGTTTAATACAAATAATTAATTTTTCACTCATTTTCCTTCTAATTTTAGACGGATTGATTTTAGTGAGTTAGAACAAAAATTCATTCATCCACTTTTTCATACTTTCTATTTTTTTTCTTTATCAAATATGATGTTTTATTTATCCCTCTAATTTCCATTCTTTTAACTTTCCATTTTTCTATTTTTTTCATTATACCAAACAGAGCATTAGAGTTTACTTATCATTTTTTGAGTGTAATTTATATTTTTTTGAGCTGAAACTTTCTAATATATTTCAAGATTTTTTATTTATTTTTGATACGATACCAAAAAAAATTAGAAGACGGGTGTATAAGTGTTTCCCCAACTATTTACATACTTCCAACAAGAAATTGGGTTGTGTTACATTCTTTTTATGGTTACGGAAGATTCATGTAAAATGGGTATTAATTCTTTGAATTTATAACAATCAAGAGAATCCCACTTTTATATCGCGAAAGATTTAAGAATTTTTTTTTATATATTTAAATATTAAAATTTTTATTATTTACCTTCAATATATTAAAAGTGTTATAATGCGGCCTTTCTGTTTGTATATGTTTTTTATTTCATCAACAATTATTTCATTGATATTGACGGAATGAGTAACAGAAATTAACGAAAGAGTCACATTACAACACTTTTAATATATTGAATATATAACGTAAAAAATTCAATCTTTAAAAATACAAAATAAAAATTCTTAAATCTTTCGGAATGTAAAATAAATACAATTCCATCATAATTATAATATAAATTTGAGATATATACAATGATCAAACAACCATGAATATAAGATATCTTAGGGGTCCAACTTATAATTTCAGATCAATACAAAATTAACACAAAAGCGTGGCCATGGATTGGGTTGGGAGCAATTGGCTGGCTCTGAATTATTTTGTAGTCAATTTTAGTNTCATTTTTTGAGTGTAATTTATATTTTTTTGAGCTGAAACTTTCTAATATATTTCAAGATTTTTTATTTATTTTTGATACGATACCAAAAAAAATTAGAAGACGGGTGTATAAGTGTTTCCCCAACTATTTACATACTTCCAACAAAAAATTGGGTTGTGTTACATTCTTTTTATGGTTACGGAAGATTCATGTAAAATGGGTATTAATTCTTTGAATTTATAACAATCGAAAGAATCCCACTTTTATATCGCGAAAGATTTAAGAATTTTTTTTTATATATTTAAATATTAAAATTTTTATTATTTACCTTCAATATATTAAAAGTGTTATAATGCGGCCTTTCTGTTTGTATATGTTTCTTATTCCATCAACAATTATTTCATTGATATTGACGAAATGAGTAACAGAAATTAACGAAAGAGTCACTTTTAATATATTGAATATATAATGTAAAAAATTTAATCTTTAAAAATACAAAATAAAAATTCTTAAATCTTTCGGAATGTAAAATAAATACAATTCCATCATAATTATAATATAAATTTGAGATATATACAATGATCAAACAACCATGAATATAAGATATCTTAGGGGTCCAACTTATAATTTCAGATCAATACAAAATTAACACAAAAGCGTGGCCATGGATTGGGTTGGGAGCAATTGGCTGGCTCTGAATTATTTTGTAGTCAATTTTAGTTATCATTTCACTTGTTTTTTAGTATTACTTGGGAAATAGATAACAAGGTCCGTCAATTGATCAAATTTGAATTAGATTTTTACGTCAATTCAAATTCATATTTGATTAAAAAGTTATGAGCTAAATTTTATCTAATTATTTGATGAATTTTATTTTTATAGTTCATATCCAAATCCGACAAACATCAAATACCTAGTCTAATAATCTGTTCCGAATAACTAAATTAAGTGATATTCTAGCAAATTATGTCTAATTTACAATACAATTTTATCAAATAATTACTGAATTTCGTCACATATTTGTATAAATATAATTATATGTTCACATAAGATTATAATCGAGATTAAATATTAGTTTATCTAAATCTAAATCCATTAAATATGATATAATATAACAAATTCAAATTTAGTTTTGAATTATTCTACAAAAAATATCAATCTATATTCAATTAATTAAATTTTTGCATTCAGATGAAAATTCGATTGCACACAGTCACACACTTGAGATAGTCCTATCAACAGATTGAATCTGAATTGAATATTGACTGATCTGAATCCGAATTAAAAGCCAAATTTGATTATCCGATAAATTTTATTTTTATGGTCCATACACGAATCTATTTAACCATCTAAAATTTGATTCAACCCGAATAACTTAATTTTAATAAATTATATTTAAATTTCAACTAAAATTTTTAAATAATCACTTAATTTTTTTAATATTAATATAAAAATATATACATATTTTAGATCGGATCGTAACGAGGATTGATTATAAGTATACTTAAATTCAAATGCGTAAAATATATTCAAATTTAAATTATCAATAAAAAATATCAATTCTTATTATATCAAAAATCTATTCTAAACAGTGAACATACCTTAGAGGAGGCCTCGAATAATGGCGAAGCTACCTGCATAGAAATTGGAATAGCACGTCTGTGTGTGTTTAGGACATGATGACACGGCCGCACGCGCCAGGCACGCACAATCCCAATGCATCATTGATAGGCATAAAAAAACAATTGTCTTTAAGCAATGTTTCATTCCCTTTGATTAAATTAACGTTGGTTTTAATCATGATGTTTCATTCTCATTGTCACTCAACAAAATAAAATAAAATAAAATAAAATAAAATTTTCTTATTTTGGACAATGCTTTGTTCGAGGACATCTTGGATTTGTCATCTGTCGGAAGAAAATACAAATTTTTTATTAAATTATTATTTTATTCATATTTAGGTATTACGTGACAAATTTATAATAATAAAAATTATTATTAATCTAAACGTTGTCTGTTTAAGGAACCACATAGAAATATATTCAATATTTCAGGTATTAAAATAATATAATTAAAATATTGATGACCAAAATAAGATAAATTACATATTTTAAAGACCTCCAATACAATTAACATAATATTTTTATTAAAAATACTCTAACATCATCTTTCTTTCTTTCTTTATTTTTTGTTACGGAATGTCTAAACTTATGCCGATTACTCTCTNTAAAATAAAATTTTCTTATTTTGGACAATGCTTTGTTCGAGGACATCTTGGATTTGTCATCTGTTGGAAGAAAATACAAAATTTTCATTAAATTATTATTTTATTCATATTTAGGTATTAGGCGATAAATTTATAATAATAAAAAATATTATTAATCTAGACGTTGTCTGTTTAAGGTACCACATAGAAATATATTCAATACTTCAGGTATTAAAATAATATAATTAAAATATTGATGACCAAAATAAGATAAATTACATATTTTAAAAACCTCCAATACAATTAACATAATATTTTTATTAAAAATACTCTAACATCATCTTTCTTTCTTTATTTTTTGTTACGGAATGTCTAAACTTATGCCGATTACTCTCTCGAACTCTAAAATCGACTATCGTCGTTTGATCTAGTTTAAGGACATGCTCTAACAACATCTTTCACACCATTAATTTACTTGAGGGACACCAAATAGTTGTAATAATTTTGTTATGTCTATGATGACTACAATTTACCAACAGTTTAATTAGCTGTTTACTCATATCTGCCCTACAAAACATGCCACTTCCTGGGGGCTATGTCCCCCATTAATGGTCCAGTGCCAGTGGAAAAGAGGAGAGCACAAATGGTATAGCACTGGTATTGTGAATCATTGCTTGTGTTGATTTATTCGTGATCAAAAATCTTAAAAATAATAAAATATAAAAGTACGAAATAATTTTTTTTTTTACAGATGTAAGAAAAATAGGAATTATGATACCAAAAAAATAATTTTTCGCTCTTTTAATTAGAACCCGTGAAAAAAAAAATTTATATTTTGTGATATGATTATTACCCATGAAGCTTTCTATCTTATTATTATACTAAACAAGCGAAAAAAAAATCATTTATATCTTATTACTTTGAAGTTTTACAAAATGAAGGCGCTTTCAAGCAGGCCCATGAAGGCTGGATTACAATGGTGTGGCCCAAAACTTTTACATGTCGTTTTGGCCCATTAGGTAGAGGTCACCCCAAGCCCAGGTTTAAACTTAGCTCCACCCATTGCACCGATGCAGGCCCTATCCAAAACACTCTATTTTCTCCTGTTCTTCTTCTTCTTCTTCTTCCAAACACCACAAGCGAAGAGTCTCTCTCACTCTCTCCTCCATGAATCTCCTCAAGGTTCACCATCATCTACCCTCAATTTTCCATCCTACCCCCATGTCTCCTTCCCACTTCCTCTCTCTTCCCAATCTTTCGGTCTCCTCCAGTCTCTTGTGTGTTTCACCTCTCTCAGTTTGTCTCTCTAAATCCAACTTCACGCATGGACATGTTATGGTCTCAAGAACTGAGGCTCCAATTTGGAGCAATGAAGGAGAAGAAAAACCCGCTGATGTTTTAATGGGGTTTGAGGACTTAGCGCCAGAGGGAGAAGTTTACCAGAAGACTCTGAGATTGGTGGAGTGTTCCATGTTTGCAGCTGTTTCTGGGTTAGCTTATTTCTTGAGCAATTCTCTTGCAATTGAGGTGCAATTTGTTACTGGGTACTTTAAATTCTGCATTTTTTTTCGATAGAATGTGTTGTTCTAATTGATGGATTGCTCAATGTCACTCTGGGTGTTATTTGTATTGATTACATTCTCATTGGTTGTTTGTAATCTAATTGTTTTATAGTTTTTGGAAGCTAAAAATCAGCAGTAGTCTTTTCTAATGAATTTGCAGTGGTTATGCACATAGCTGCTTAAAGGAAGCTGAAGGAGGAAACGGCAGGGGAAATGGGATTGTAAAAGGGGTCTAGTTTTTTTTTTGTTTTTCTAAGGGATATTGGAAGTGAGTGGCTTTATAGAATTTAATTAAATATTTTCATGAAATTGTTTAAGAAACCTGGACATTATTTGTGTGAAGCACTTAAAAAATGCAAAACTTGCATGGAAAATCCAGACATTAATAGCTAAGAATATTTAGTACAAGTAAAGATAGCTTCAGGAGTAAAAAAAAAAATTAAAGAAAGATGTCTTGTGCTTTATAGTTATATGCTGATGATGTATAGTTGATAATACATAAAGTACTACTCTTCCGCAAAAATTGTGAAAAAATATTTTCTGAGAAATCAAAGTACTGCAGACTTTGAAACTACACCTTTAGTGAGGCTCATCTGTTATGGCATTGACAGCCTAGGACTAGGTTGCAATTCCTAGAAGATGAGTTCATATGAAGCAAGAATTCTGGAGATGAAAGGGTGGCAATAGTCAGAATTCAATGGTAATATGGAAAAGTAAGAAACAAATGCATTTGTGCAAAGATACAGATAGATTTAATTGAAGAAGGAAGATTGATGATTGTGATGTTGCATGAGCAATTGGCTGCAATTCAAGGCACTGAAAGGAAAGGAAGAATGATGAAAGTAGTGTGGGGATGGGAAACTTTGAAAGATAATGGTAAATGATGACTTACGATATTTGGGATATGGCACTAGATAAAACTAAATAGCCTTAAGTGGGTTTTGTGAGCCAAAACAAATGACAAAGAATGTTTAATGTGTTGTGCAATAAAGAGTTGAGTTGATAAAACCAAAGCTTGTGATTTAAGATTTAATAGCACATCAAAAACTATATAGCTGAACCAAAAGATCAAATCTCAAGTGGTTGGACTTAGGCTCTGCCAGTGTGTTTTCTGAGTTGGATTGCATTGGCGGACTACAACAATAAGGTGTGAAGTTGAATTTAACTGTCAAAGGTCATCGTGAAACCAGCTGGGATCATCATGGATGCCAATTTGTGCTACTGGTTTCAAAGTTTATCAGGACATGATGAGAGCTGCTGGGATTATATTAAATTTTTTTAGATTGCTGGTGATAATTGTTCCATGGCTGTTGTCTGTAGTGTTGTTGAATGCTCTTGTCCATAAAGCTCTTGAATGGTCCACCCGTTCTTTCTGTCTCCCACTTTTTATTGTTTAGCTTTGTCATTGCAACTTCTTCAGCCTGAAGGCATCCTATAGCAGATACAAGTTATTTTGCTATTACCCTTGTTTGTTCTATTTTTCTTTTTTCTTTTTTCTTGACTTCAAGTAGTAGTGATCTTTGTTATTATGTTTTTCATGACAATGTATATTAAATGCCTATTGAGTCCTTGAAGCTCGGCCTATTGGTGCCAAAGGGATAGGACAAAAGAAAAGATAATTTNTTTTTCTTGACTTCAAGTAGTAGTGATCTTTGTTATTATGTTTTTCATGACAATGTATATTAAATGCCTATTGAATCCTTGAAGCTCGGCCTATTGGTGCCAAAGGGATAGGACAAAAGAAAAGATAATTTGGCAGTTGATGCTCATTTTTGTCTGAATGTTTTGTTACATGTTTCAAATATTTCTTTCACTTTTTTTTCTGCTGTTCAGGGTTCAGCACACAAATACATCACCAGTACAGATCTGGTGTTAGTACTACAAATTTCAGTTATAGTTTGTCTAGAAGCACTCTGCCATAAAATCTATACTTTAGCTGTCAGTTGGTAGTTACTGCAATTCAAACTTATACCCCACTCCTAGGTAGCCAACATTTAATTCCCCATATAATTAAGAACTGTGTTTCACTGCTTTTTTCAGTCACCTAACTGAACTACATAAGATGTGGCATTTGAACTTGTACAGAATTACTTTGGCTGTTTTTTCGCGTTGCCAATTGTAATCTCCTCAATGCGATGGGGTATTGCGGCCGGCAGAAAAACGATGGTTTGTCAATATCCACGCCCTGTTATTATTGAATATTTATATTATTAAATTGTTGAATGAATATCTCTTATAAATTCCATAATCTTCCAACTTGGCAGGTGGCAACCATTATGCTATTATTTGTTTTGTCTGGTCCTTTGAAAGCATTAACCTATCTGGTGAGAATGCTCTGAATCTCCGGTTCTTGCTTGTAATCTCTGGCCTACTCTTGTGCTTGCTTCTGTGGATTAATCTGTTGTATACTTCTTTTTTTGGGAACAAGTGTCTCCCATAATCCTGAATGTTGCTCTCCTGTCAACTTAAGGTCTTAAAATTCATTCTCTTCGATATTAGTTATGATTCAGAATTTGTTCTTTCTGTGATAGTCATGTTTAATGTTAAAATTGATCTGCTTGTCCTCTGGAATTTGTAATTTTTTTTTTGTATTGGGAATTGGGAATAGTTCTTGACAATATCTGAAATCTACAGAAGTAATAGGACGTATCATTGCATGAAATCATTTTAGTTAACTTTGGACTTGATGTTAGACTTTGTTTACTTATTTCATCAACTCATTTCAGTTGATGGAAGTTACAAAGCGTGGGTTGATGTTTATTCATGGCCGAGTCAAAAAGATCTGTAGATTTATCTTAAACAACCCTTTGAAGCTATATAATGATAGTTTGAACTTTGTGATAGTTTTTTGAACTTTCTGTTCAAAAAACTTTGTGCTTGTTTCTAAGACACAACTTTCTTGGTTCTTCATAGTTTGTATGTACGAGAAAAAAGTATATTTGCCCCTGTTTAGCATTTTTTTTTCTGAACAGCATTCCCAATTACAGTAGCTGATGATTTAGTTGTTGATCTCTTCCTGCAGCTAATGCATGGTTTACATGGATTTACCATGGGCGCGTTGTGGAGGTATGTGTGCATATTGCTTCAGTTAAGTTGATTTATATTTCTTATATTACTTTCTTAACATGTGCTGGTCTCGTCACTCTTTAATTACGAGACATAGTTGTGAGAAATATGAACCTGCAAATTTTTCCCGTTTCAGAACTTTGATAGTCGTTTAAAACTATTCAGAGTATTTGCAGTGTTTCTTGGACCAGTTTTCTACTTCCTATATGAGAGGAACTGATGTCATTATTACCACTTGCTTTTTCTTCCCTCTGGCATGCATTGCTCTTCTCTAGCTAAATTGAACTTCCTTTTTTGTTATGCTTCCTCTCCAATGCCAATTTTTTCATACCTTGTCCCACGGCATTCAAACCAGCTAGATCAAGTAAAATCCATCTGAACTACATGCTTTAGTAATTCATGTTATGATAATCTGTGGCTTCATTATCAAAAACGAACACACTCACACAATCAGACATCCCATGGCATTTATAGTGCTTGCAATTTTGATGAGACTTTTGACTACATTTGCCCTTCTCTTCTTTTGAATAATGAAAGTCCAGTAACTGAATGATTCAGTTTCATGCAATAACTTTATGGGGTTCTGTTATGAATTTTCTCAGGTTGAGGGCAAGTTGGGGTCTTTCAATCGTCTTGTGCTCATTTGTAGTGTTTGCTCCCTTCAACTTTTTCCCTATGATTGAAGCTGCTATTTCCATTTGTCATGGTTGAATTTCCAATGACGCATCAATTTGATCTGCAGGTTCGAGCTATGGGTGCCCTGGGGTATGTTCTAGTATCCTCATTCTTAATAAGAGAGAACATTCTTGCTGTGGTAACTTATATATTACTTACATCAATTTTTTTGCTGATCCAATGCCTTGTAACTTGGATGTTATTATATCTCTGATTTTTCTGGTGATACAAGATCAGTATTTCACTACCAGAGTTCATTCTCTTGCTTGTAGATCACCATAAACATCCATGGTTATCTCACATACTTCCTCACATCCTTGGGACTTAATGCAATTCCATCCATGAATTTGATATATGCCCTTTTCGGGACCCTGGTTTGTGCAACTACCATTTTCAATTTTGCTGTTTCTTTTCTTCCTATATGTGACGTGTGCAGAGACAACTAATGGCCCCCCGTCCTTCTCCCTCTCTTGACAGCTTTTGCTTAATTGTGGGTTCTTCGTGTTTTTGCTACATCTCCTCTATGCTGTGTTCTTCACCAGACTTGGGCAAAAGTCTTCATTGAGACTGCCAAGATGGCTGGAGCAAGCAATATGATGGCATCTGAAGCAGTTCCTTTGTTTCTTCTTGACCTGTCCCGGCAAGGCAACAGTTATTATTCAGATTTAGCATTCCCAAGGCAGCCAAGTATTCAACAACCACGTCTATCATATCATACTCTTGTCATTATTATCACGACATAACATCACCTACTTGGTAGATCATTGTTGTTGCNCTTCTTGACCTGTCCCGGCAAGGCAACAGTTATTATTCAGATTTAGCATTCCCAAGGCAGCCAAGTATTCAACAACCACGTTGATCATATCATATTCTTGTCATTATTATCACGACATAACATCACCTACTTGGTAGATCATTGTTGTTGCATTGCCTTCTCCATCATCAATGTGTTTAGCTCATGTCTCTTGCTGCAATGCTGAAGGGCTACATCTGTAGGAAGCTCCGTGGTTCGTGAACATATGTATTACCTTGGTTCTTTTGGATCATGAATGCCATTTGACTTTGGACTCAACCTTGTGTCTTGCAAATTTGCCCTTATAGATTACACGTGTCGGCTGTATGAGGTCAATTGTGGAAAATGCATTGGGCTCTCGTTCTTTCCAGTGTAAAATAATCAGTCCAAGTTGCTCTTGGAGCAGAGATGCATGTGCACCACCCTCCTGGTCTGCAAGCCTAGTTCCTTCCTTCTTATCATGTTTTCCTAAGTATGGTCTTTGTAATCTGTCAAACGTTTATGTATCTTTTCAGTTAGTCTCTCGGGTTGTGAGAGATATATCTTCACTCCAGTACTGTGTTAAATTATGTTTACATGAGGTTTTTTTTTTCCATAGGCGTTGATTTATAAAGACCGATTGATCCTTCCCATCCCCTCGGTGATAAATTAATTATACATGTTGAAATTGACCGAAAGAATACGTGAAAGACCAGAATTGTTGCATTGAGACCCTCTTGTCCCTGAGGAAAAATTGGTTATATAAAGCTTATTAAGCTAGCCATGGGGACCAAATCAGCCCCATCAGATTCTTCTATCAGAACAACAATACTCCAACCCATTTATATTCTTTCCTTCTTCCTCCAAATCATATATTCTACCAACCCCTCCTCCTGCTCAAAGAGAAATTGTTCCTTTGGTGGTTGAACTCTCTCAAAGAGAAGATGCTTCCAGTATAACTAGTGGCACCTCCANTGTTCTACCAACCCCTCCTGCTCAAAGAGAAATTGTTCCTTTGGTGGTTGAACTCTCTCAAAGAGAAGANTATTCTACCAACCCCTCCTCCTGCTCAAAGAGAAATTGTTCCTTTGGTGGTTGAACTCTCTCAAAGAGAAGATGCTTCCAGTATAACTAGTGGCACCTCCAATATGAGAAAGCATCCATTTAGAAAACTTAGAAAATTTTGGATCTCTGACAATTTTTGTGCTTTGCATCATAAACAATTTCTTCTAAATGGTCTTGCCTGCCCAATGACATTTCGATCTGTTTGGTTGATTCTGTCGGTACTAGCAAGATCTTGCCCATTGTAGACCTGCTAGCGGTATCACGATTCAATTGGAGTACTGATAATGATTTATGTTATCCAGGAGACCTCGTTTCGATAATCCTTCAATGTCCACATCTGTACTTCTGTTGCTGCAAGGTGTGGGGCCAGATATACATAATCTAGGGCAAAGCTAGGTTTATTTATTGAGGGGGGTCAAATATGGACATAACAGGAAATTTTCTTTTTAATAAAGCTATCATTATGCTAAACGCTTAATTACATAGAATTTACTAAAATCAACTTTTACACAATACGTCATAGAAATATTTATTTTAATAAAATATTAAAAAAATAATTCAAACTTGTCTAGATTAAATGTAAAGCATTGAGATCAATTCATCAAACAATCAACAATTTAAGCTAATTTTTTTTATCTCATAATCACTCAGTGTAGAACTAAATTTCATCATTTTTCTATATATTACGAAAAAGTTGAAGAAATGTGTTCAAATTAATAGTCAATGCCTGAAAGAAAATCAAGATCAAATTGTAAAGGTATAAAGTATAAATTTAAAACTATAGAGGGCCATGTAAAATGAAATAGAAGCATCATTTTAGAGGTATAAAACTTATTTTGAAAACTTGAGGTGGGTAAACATAATTTTAGAAACTTAAAAAAGGGGGGGGGGGGGGGGG